CTAGTAAGGCACTTGTTACTACTAGCGATGCACTTGTTACTACTAGCAAACATTGTTACTACTAGTAAGGTACTTGTTACTACTAGCGACGCACTTGTTACTAGGACAGACAGACCCTGACAGGGACTGGAAAAGAAAGGCCCTGTCCACGGCCAAGCAGGACACAGACCCGGACAAGGCCTGATCTAAGCTGTTGCAGAAAGCTACTAGGAGCAAGGGCATCGCTACTAGTAACAAAGGGCATCGCTAGTAGTAACAAAGGACGCTACTAGTAGCTCCTGGCCTTACTACTAGGAACAAGAAGCTACTAGTAGCAAGGGCATCGCTCAAGAGGATCCTGGCAAGTCATGCAAGGAAGTACTGTGTCCGCTATTTTTGCTGGGAGGATGAAGCAAGCAACAGCTGTTTGAAGCAGTGATTGCAGAATCCAGTCGAAGTCCTTCTTAGATCACAAAAGGATCACAAAAGCAGCACCGTAGGCGAGTCACGCTGAGTCCGGTTTTCAAATTCTGGCGAAGTGGACTAAATCTATCAGCATGACTTTGCAACTAGTAACAAGGACGCTACTAGGGGCTCCTGGCCTTAATGTTGTTTGCTTGATGTGCTGTTTCTACCTTGTATCATCTGGTATCCTCGTACCGGACTCGACGTTTTCTCCCTTGTACCTCTGTTTTCACCTCTAGTCGGAGTCCCGCACCGAAGAGAGCGCCACGCGGCTGTGCCTCGATTCCGGTCTCGGCCTGAAAGCGCCGGCCATGCCACGGGCAACGAACGCACAGCCCCAGAGACGATCCGGTCGATCCAAGATCCTCTAAGTCGCCTGAGCCGTCTTTGCAGTGTGTGGAGGCCATCGCTACTAGTAACTAGTAACAAGAAGCTACTAGGGGCAGCAAGGACGCTACTAGGGGCTCCTGGCCGTACTGCTAGGAACAAGAAGCTAGTATGTTACTTGTCAACTCTGTGACTCTGAGAAGTGCGAAGCCGCCTTCATGCAATGGTCCTCCCCGATGTCCACAACGAGCATCCAGAGCATAGTATTTCCCATGGCCCATCATCAACAGAATGTCCGTAGATTCTATCTGTAGCACCTGAAGAAAGTCAAAAGAAATCGATGAACCTGCTTGCAGAGTAGGACACTGACCAAATGGGGTATCGCCAGAGACAAGGAATCCCCAACAATGGTCGAACTGTGCAGGGTCCCCATCTGCACCTCCCCACCTTCATCGTGGGCTTAGAAGGAACAGCGGCAAGCTCATCTGTGTTCAGGATCAAGTGCCACTCATCCTTGGCGGTGAAAAGATCAGCACCGTTCAGTTCTGCACTTTGTATTCTTTGGACAAACGATGAAGTGCCTTCCTTTGCAAAAAACTGCTGGATGTAAATGGTCAAACGAATTCCGAACGACCACCATTGAACAGAAATTCTTTCAGCCTCTTCTCTCGCAACTGCAATTTTGCAGCACTTCCAACTTCCAATGCGATCAAAGCTCTTCCCCAGCCATTGGCCGGATCCAAAGCCTGAGTCACAGGGTCGTTCTTCCACATGTCGTCTGCCTTTTTGTGTCTACAGAACAAGGACGCTACTAGGAGCAAAGGGCATCGCTACTAGGAGCAAGGACGCTACTAGGGGCTCCTGACCTTACTACTAGTAACAATAAAGCTACTAGGAGCAAGGGCATTGCTACTAGTAACAAAGGGCATTACTACTAGGAGCATTCTTACTAGTAACAAGAAGCTATTAATTTACTTTTAGTTTAATTCTAATAGCTTCTTTGTTACTACTAGTAAGGCACCTGTTACTACTAGCGTGGCACTTGTTACTAGTAACAAGAAGCCTTTTCGTGATTTCTGTTCACCTCTCTCCTCTCCTTTCCTAGTAACAAGAAGCTACTAGGAACAAGTGCATCGCTAGTAGTAACAAGTGCCTTACTACTAGTAACAAGAAGCTCTCTTCTCCTCTCTTCTGTTCACCTCTCTCCTCTCCTTTCCTGTCGGCGAAAGCGCCATTTTGCCCCGACTCTCGCGTTCCTTGCGTCCGGTCGCCTCGACTTAAAGTCCCATCACCTTAGAGCGCAGATTTGCTCAGACTTTGCGTAAATCAGTGTAGATATCCTGTTGCTAAAAGCTGCAAATTCATATTTTGAACCATATACGCAGAAACATCAATTTTGCGGTCTTTCTGCCGCAGTCTATACAAAGATCCATTCCACTTGTAGGAATAGACGACTATACACAGCTCACAGAGGCCTGGATTGCAGGCAGGACACAGTGGTCACGCCTGTCAGGCACCTGGAACAACGATGTGTGATGTCCTTATCGCTACGTTGAAGGCCATCGCTAGTACGAGTAGGTTTTTTTCAGTTAAGAAAAAACAACATGCGATTCAGTATGCGATGCTGTCCATATATGCCACAGCTTCCTGCATCCTCAGAAAATGCCCTGTCCAACGCCATTCTTGTTTCGCATTGCAGCAGCCGTGTTGTGCATCTCAAGGTATGCAACCTGAGACTGATCAACATCAAACTTCCCCAAGGAGGCATCTGAAAGCTTCTGCGCTTGGGCACGTTTCCCAGCCATGGTCACACCGTCAAGTCTGTGCTGCGTGTCTGACTGTGAGGTCTCTTGCTTCTCTTCACCAAAACAAAGCGCCGAGCGATTCTTGTTTCTCGCTTCTGCTGCACTTTTCTGCATTTGAAGATAAGCAACACGAGACTGATCAGCATCAAACTTTCCCAGTGCAGCATCTGAAAGCTTCATCGCTTGCTTTTGCTTGCCATTGCTTGTGAGACCTTGCGTTATTGCTTTGTCTGCCAGCCCATTCACCTCACGCAACAAGGCGGGATAGCGCTCGAGAGCCTCATAACCCATTGGTGTGGCTTCTGCTGAACAGTGTACTTCTTTCTTGCTTTTCTTGCTCTTGCCTTCCTTCTTCTCCTTTTCCCCTTCCTTGCCTTTGGCTATGCCTTTGCCTACCTCCTTCCGAGGCGCAGGCTCATAGTCAAAGGAAAGGGCAGAGCGGTTCTTGTTGCGGGCTTCAGCCGCACTTTTCTGCATCTCAAGGTAGGCAAGACGTGACTCATCAGCATCAAACTGCCCCAATGATGCATTGGAGAGCTTTTGAATCTGGGCACGCTTTCCGGCCATTGTCACGGACTCCACTTGCTCAACTGATTTCAAGTTGGCTTCCATCTCCAGCTGAGACCCGGCTAGAGACGTACAAGCACTCGAACATGAACTCCTAACTGCGGTCGTGACTTTCTTGGATTCACTCTGACTCATCTCAAGCACTTTCTGGTCGAGACACCGTTGGATTAAGTCCATCATTTTGATCTCAACGTGCGCCGCAGTGCTTTGCCCGGTCTTTTCAGAAACTGTACTGCGAGAGCTCCTGACTGCTTGGGCTGCTTGGGCTTCAACTGCTTGAGTTGCTTCTGCTCGGGCTTCACTTGAAGAGGCGTCCATCTGGACTTCCTGGCACGAGAACGGCTTTCCTTTTGAAAGAAGCATACTCAAACGGTTCAGTTTTTTCACCAACACCTGCTTAGTACTATGAAGAAGAAAGAACACTTTCGTTTGTAAGGCTTTCACCATAAGGGTTTTGTAAAAATTGCATCCCTTTCATCCCTTTGACCCCTTTTGGCTCGTTCACGTCCTTCACTTCCTTAGATTCTCGACGTCGCGCAGCCCTCATGGCTGCCGCAGTGAAAGCATCAGGCGGCAGGTGGTCATCACCACTGCCCCATGGGCAGGTGTGGCCACAGGACTGGTTCTGAGAGTACTTGGCCATGAGTACGAAGGCTGAAAGACGATCAGAAACAAACGGGTTAGTTGAGGTAAAAAGGAAGGTCCCTACGGCAGGCTTTTGAGCCAAAAAGACGTACGACCAAAGGCAAGCGCCCATTTATTGCACCGGATTGTACGTTTGACAAGACCTAAACACCGTCAACTCCGACCTTCTTGTGTTCACTTGGGCTCGCGGCGGAGATCAAGTGCACTTGGAGACCGCACAAAAACACGTCAGTGCCCCTAGTAGCGTCCTTGCTCCTAGTAGTGATGCCAGGAGCCCCTAGTAGCGTTTTTTCCTAGTAGTACGGGCAGGAGCCCCTAATAGCGTCCTTATCTTGACTTCCAAAAGGAAGCCAATTGAGCAAACATGTGACAGAAGCTGGATTGCACTTCAGCAAGGACAAGGTCTGGAGTATTCTCACGTCTGTGCTCAATTAGTAGCGGCCTCCACCCTGATAGTGATGAATGGCCTCAACCTACTAGCGACGGCCTCCAACCTAGAAGCAATGGCTTCGCACAAAGGACTGTTTTAACGTCTTTGCGCCATCTTTGGACTGCAAAGTCTCGCACGACCGATCTTCGGCTGTGCTCGTTTTGCGTCAACATTGGGTCTCCTCGTCGGAGTCATCTGAGGAATCATCAAGATTCATATCAATATCCGACTGCCTCACATTGCGGGCCTGATAAACCATGCAGCCATAGGTCCAGAAACAAATGTTGTACAGGAGGAAGCTGATGCCGAATGTCAAGGCGACGGCTATCTCATCTTGAACTTGTTCAGCAAAGCAATTCTCAATCACCACAAGGAAAAGAAAGAGCCAACCTGAAAACGTCTTGAGCTTAGGCAGCTGATGCTTGGCAGCGTAGAACAACAAGGAGGCTGACACTTTGCAGGGAAAAGCTCAAGAAAGAGATTGCTGAGAGCAGTTTCACAACAGCATGGCTTTGCTTCGCATGAAATGTCTTTGTCTCCAAGTAGCAAGTCAGGATATATTTATCAAGCAGTGTGTTGTAGGAAATGTGGGGCACCTTAAATGACAAGCATCGGGCACCGCCAGTGTGCAAAGCGACCAATCGATTTTTCAAATGGAAGTTCTATTGAATGACGCCTACAGTAAGACCCAAAGTGTTAAGTTTTTAGTGCTTCTTCTGAATGGCTTTCTTCGAACAAATGAGAATCCTGAAGAGTGTTCCTTCCCTTCTGCCACCTCTCCTCTTTCTAAAAACGGCAACTGATAGGTCCAAGCTTCCATTTGTGCCACAATGTACTTGTAGGCCACTGCAGTAAGAACTAATGTCAATGAGGCTGAAAGGCGACCTGCCTTGCCAAGTATAAGTTTTCAAATGAACAGCGCGAACACAGGAACAGCTAAGAGAGGGGAGGTGAGCGCTTTATGGCCTTTCTTAAATGGATGTGTTTGAGTTTGAAATTGTCTATTTCCATGTATGTTTCTCTACTTCTTGATTTCTTCCTGACAACTTTCATTGTTGTGTTGTTCACACGCTGTTCCTATTCTCAAGAGGCTTCTCCTGTAGACAAGCAAAGACTTATTTGCGTAGCCCTTTAAGATTTGGTTCTGAGAAAGAACAAAAGAAATACAATAGAAAGAGCTAGACCGGAGGAGACAAAAGGCCTGATCTCCCGCTATCATTGCGACATATGTTGTAACACACTGTTTTCTATGTTCAGTTATCGTGTTGCTTGAACAGTGGCCCTTCCCTTCTTGGATAGGCGGTTGATTCTAGATGAAGCCCCCCCAAAGATCTACCTTTTTCATACGTGTGTAATATGTTTTCCAAACAAGGAATTGGTCTGCCTGAGGAGAAACCATAAATATATATATATATATACATAGCATGTATTTGCAGTGCTTTGGTGTGATTTTCATATGTGTATATATATTTTTTGTTGTTTTCTATTATGCAATTGAATATATTTGCAAAGTGATTGGGTTTGTGGGATACCCAGCACTAACCTCAGGTTATGAAGATTGATCATGTGAAAAAAATACTACCTTAAGTTAAAGAAATATAAGCAAAACATCTCTATGCGCAATGAAGTATGTTTGCCGGGTGCATTTGCCCTATCCCTTGTCTAATGGTTTTTTCTTTTGGACTGCCAAAACCAAAACGCAAAGCATAAAAACAAAAAACAAACTTGGAGGAGAATCCTTGGTTTCACCTGAAATATTGTATTTGTTGTTTTCATTGAGTTCTGTTTTTTTGTGTCCCGCATCTACAAACCAAAAAACTATCTATTTATTGTGTTTGCTTTAGTCTATGCCATCACCAACGCCCAAGCCACAAAAACAAGTTGTTTGGTCTTCGCTTACTGTTTATCCAAAGAACAAAAAAGTGTGTGATGCGTTTTTTGTTGTTCGCGATTCAAGGTTGCATAGACCAAAGCAAAAGCCAAAAAATGAAAATAGTTTTTTGAAGAAAACAAAAAACCAAAAAAGACTCAATGCACTCGGAAGCAAACACCACACGACCGGCCTTTTGTTTGTTCAGTCTCCCATACCTGACCCTCACACAGCGACTGCGTCACTTTTCTCGGGACGCCATAGGCATTGGGGCATGACACCCTGAGTCTGCTAAAATGAACAGGCAAAGCTTTTGGTGGCGAAACCCCGGTTCCGAACAGAGTTCTCTTCACGAGACCGTAGCAGAACACATGGTGACCGGTGACCAAAGAACCTGAGTAACATGGAATTCACTTCCGGAGTACCCCACCGTCACTCGAGCAAATGTTCATTCGAACAGACGCAAAAACTCAAGTGAGTCTGTACTGACCACATCAAACACGAACGGGGCGCAGCCTGGCCTAGCCTGAGCGCCTCCCTGCAGCTCAGGCCAAAATGGCGGCGTGCGACGAGCGATCAATATCAGTGAAAATATAATCAAGAGTAAAGAAATGACATCAGCAGACTGAACACTTTGCTATCGAGTGACTCCCATGTCCCAGCCAACCTACCGTTAACAAGGGACCCACTCGGAAACAAACACTCACGAACGGCGAACCATGCAATCTCGTGTAATCTGCTGCAGCCAGCAGATGCCCATGTCCCACGCCATCTATCTACGCATCCATGTGTGGCATGACCACAGACCACTCGCCACCCCTGGAAAATGGTGACGACCACACTGGGTATGAACACAGTGTCTGATAAGACCTCTTCCATAGTGTCGGCGATGTGCCACAATTGGACCGAGAGGTCAGAATCTGAACGGCGCCCCCTGAGCTCAAGGTGGACCAGAACATGGCCTTCGAGCTTCACCTTCACGTCCATCCATGAAGGGCTCGAGTCAGTCATAGCCGGCCACCTGAATGGCTGAAAAGCAGCGTGAGACAAAACTTCGCCGGTTGCGGCGTCCCAACGAGCACAGGGTAAGTGAGAATAGCATGTCATCGAGCCAGTCACAATGACCTTGACAGAATCCAATGTCTTCACCATGAAGAGGTTGAAGTGGTATCCACTGGATGGCGAGCGCACCAGGTGTCGATCAGACTTCAAGTTGACAAAACTCAAAGCGTTGGTCAACACTTCGTCCAGAAGCCAGTTTTGAAAAGGTGACTGGATCCGCTTGTCACGGTTGTCAATGATCAAGATGGAGCGCTCACCTTCTGCTGAGCCAATCTGCGAAAGGTGATCTGGCAGCTGAGTGTTCAGTGGATTGTGGGCGAGATTGCCCATGTTTCCCCACCGAAAAGCTCTCCTTCCCCTCCGAGCGGCTTGCTCTTGTTGACGTCTCAACTTCCGTGAAGCAGGTGTGTCATGAGCATGGTCAACGAAAGTCTGAGGAGCTTGTAGTACTGGAGCTGCAGGAGCTGCTGGTGGAAACACTCCAGGAGGGGGAGGTGGCACATCACTAGACGAGGCACCTTTTGATGCTGGATCCACGTCCTTGGACGTCTCATGCTCAGGCACGGTAGGCATGGCCGAAGTGGGCTCTTCTCAGCGATGGCCATCTCCCTCGATATCCGTCCAAGAGCTGGTTGAAGAGCCATCGTCCCAGCGAACTGAAGCATTATGCATCTGTCGAGCGAACGCAGCTGGAACACGACTCTCGGACATTGCGGCGAAGACTTAGGCTCTAACTAATCCTGAGCGTGTGCTTTGACCTGGCGTTCGCCGCGCATCTTTCGCCAAAATGGCGGCGTCGTGCGACGAGTGATCAATATCAGTGAATAAATAATCAAGAGTAAAGAAATGACATCAGCAGACTGAACACTTTGCTATCGAGTGACTCCCCATGTCCCAGCCAACCTACCGTTAACAAGGGACCAAAACCAAACGCAAATCTTTCAGGCTGAAACCAAAGATTCTCCTCAGAGTTGTTTTTTGGTGTTTGGTTTTCGCTTTGGAATTCCCCAGGAAAACCAAAAATCATAAATTCACTACAAAGGGAAGCCAGAATCATCCTCCCAGTGTTGCATTGAGCTGGGACAACAAAATAAGAGGCAAAGGAATACAAGTTGGGAGTCCTGCGGTGGGAGATCGGGACAAAAACACCTGCAAGACCATTTCGCAAGAACAGAGAGATCCCAGCCAAGCTGTTTGGAACGAAGAGAAAGAAAGCAACGAGAGGCAAAGAAAAACAAAGGGTCCAAAGGTTAAGTTTGCCGAAAAGCAACTCAGACGCAACGGTTCTTCTGCGTCCAGTCGGTAGTAGTTTGCTTCTTGCTAGCTGCCATAGCTACCTCACACGGCCTACCTACGGTACCTCCTCGGAAGACCAAAAGAGACTCGAAGAGAGTCGGGTTCCGAAGAGAGATGGCCTCCAACCTACTAGCGTCCTTGCTACTAGTGGCTTCTTGCTCCTAGTAGTAAGGCCAGGAGCCGCAGGTAGCTTCTTGCTCCTAGTAGCGATGCCCTTTGCCCCTAGTAGCCTCCAACCTGATAGGTTCCGAATCTTCGGAAGACTTCAGTTGTCCTTGACTTGACGTGTTTCATGCTCCAAAGGCTCCAAAGCCTTGTCTGCAGCATCAATCGTGAACGACGACCAGCTCATCACGACGATTGATCCCAGGGGTAGCGAAATGTTCCACAAATGATACCTCAGTAGGAGCAAGGACGCTACTAGGGGCTCTTGGCCATACTACTAGGAGCAAAGAAGCTACTAGGGGCTCCTGGCCATACTACTAGGAGCAAAGAAGCTACTAGGGGGCTCCTGGCCATACTACTAGGAGCAAAGAAGCTACTAGGGGCTCCAGGTTCAGTGGTCTCTTGGAGCAAGACCAGAGACACGAAGAGAAGCAAGCCTCCTTGGCAGTAGCGTCCTTGCTCCTAGTAGTAAGGCCAGGAGCCCCTAGTAGCGTCCTTGCTCCTAAGGTGTATATTAGTATAGTGGAGTAGTTCAGTGAAGGTTCTTCTTGCCACATTTGGCTTTGTAAAAAGCTCTGATCGTAAACTGGCAGTAATCGTCAATCGAGATGCCAAGGGAAGCGCGTCACAGTGACTGTGACTGTAAGCAATGGAAATCGGTCTTTCAAAAAGTTTCGGCGCTTGTCGGAAAGGCTGTAGTCTAAGGTGACATTTCTGGGAGGTTCCCAGGTATTCACCAAGGGAAAGACATTCAAGATCACCTTGCACGAAAGCGCTCTTGTCATCTCTTGTCTGTAATGCAAAGTTCACTTCAAGACCAGAGAAAGGACTTAACAAGAACCTACTAGGTTGGAGGCCATCGCTATTAGGTTGGAGGCCATTACTACTGGTAGCTAAAAGCTACTAGTAACAAGGAATAGCAACGAAAAATAAAAGGGATGTCCAAGACAGCATACCGAGTGAAGTAGTAGCTTCTAAGCAGAAAGGCCATATACGGCTTTGTTTTGTAAGGCTTAGTGTGCCTTTCCTTGTTTCGTTGTAGACCTTTCTTCCGATTTCTTCGTGTCCTTTCTGTTCCCTTTCTTTATTTTTCCTTCTCTGCCTTTTTCCCTGTTCTTTTCCTGCTAGGTAAAGGGAAAGTCCGGAAAGACTTTCAAGAGCACCTTGGATTTGCCCACATCGGTGAACTTGTGTAGCGGCTTGTCCTTTCGGCAAGGCCTTGCGACCCAAATCGGGCAATCATACTACAGCCGCAGTTCCAGTAACATCTAACACAATGACATGATCAATTTCTTTGCAATGCAGGGCGGCGCCAAGTGAGATTGACCCAAAAATGTTATGGAACATCTAGTAAGGCACCTGTTACTACTAGCGTGGCACTTGTTACTACTAGTTGCGAACATCAATTTCACGTTGTGATGTTGTGCCGTGTTGTGCCCGAATTTCAGCCAAGCCACAGCCCAACCTTGATGGTAATCTTCAGCTCCTGCGCAGACACCAGCGTGATTCTTCGCATATTAAATGCATTTTTTTTTGCCGCCTTACATCCACAAAAGCAAGTACTAAGACTACAAAGAATGGAGTAATGAGTAAAGATATCAAAAAAAGAAAATAGCATTTGGAAGGACGCCTTTTAGATGTTTGTCGTATTCGTGTCGTATCTTTCTTTGTGCCTCAGCTTTCCCCATAAATCTAGGAATCTAATCATGAAGAAGGGTGAGCCGTTCTGCATCCTGGCCCTACCGGGCCCTACCCCCTCTTAGCAATCGTTTCATCTGTAGCAACAATGAAGTTTTCTAGTATTTGTTTGAAGCTTCTCACTAATGCTTTGTAGTAACTAGAAGCATCCTTAGGAATCGTTTCACTGGCCTCAGGAATCGTTTCACTGGGAATCGGTTCATCTGTAGCAAGAATGAAGCTTTATGCGCTTGAGGCTTCTTACTCATGCTTTCTAGTAACTAGAAGCTTCCTTAGGAATCGTTTCACTGGCC